GTCCGGAGGATATCACAAGATATGAAAAGTGGACAGTGTCAAGGTGATACAGAAAATAAGTATTCCACAACATTGACCAAATACTTATTTTCCACCATTATTTGCAAAAAAAATTCTTTAAAAGTCAGACAAAATGATTTTCTCAAATTTTTTTTCACATTTTGTCTCTCATAGTTGAGGTCTACCTATGATGTCAATTACAGGCCTCTCTCATCTTTTTAAGTGGGAGAACTTGCACAATTGGTGACTGACTAAATACTTATTTTCCCCACTGTATGTTCTTTAGTTCTGAATGATGGTTCTGTATGTTTTTTGTTTCTGTGTATTTGGTTTTGTGTGCTTGCTGGTTCTGACTGTTTCCTGTTGATTCTGGTTCCTGCTGGTTCTGGATTCTGCAGACTCTCATGGTGTCTCTGAATGGGAAAAAAGCTGATGCAGAACCATGGATCAACATCCTAACATCCAGAGAGTGGGATCACCTGGACAAAGGTGAGTCTGTGACCTGATGAGACCGGACATGTTTGGTGTGATGAGTCTCCTCACTTTGGACCGCTCACAGTTCTGCTGGGCCTGGAGCTGGAGAGTGGGCAGTCAGTAGAGCAGGTGGTGGAGAAACAGTTCTCTGGAGATGTTCGACTTGGTTTGAGAGTTTTAGGTGAGAAACAACTGAAAGTTTGGTACAATTTCTTGGTTTTGATCCATTTCTGATGCTTCTGTCTGTTTTGGATCAGTTCAGTGCATCCAGGGTTCTGATGTGTTCCTCGCCAAGAGACTGGCCACCATGAAGGTGAGGTGATAACTTTTCAGGCCTAACCCTTCAAATGACTGGCTGAAACCAGGGATCTTTGGATTTTCATGATAAATTTAAATTTCTTATAATGTTTGCATCATCTTCATTCTGGACATTTTCACCTGCAGAACAGAAAAAAGAATCCAACTATATATTTATAGATTTTTATGTCCAGGTGTTTGTTTAATTTTGGCTTTTGTTCTGATCTATGTGGAACAATGATCAACATATCTGATGTGTAATTTTTTGATGATTTTGATTATGACATTTGACAAAATGTAATGTTTTCTGCTTGTTTCATAAAAGGTGATGTGCTGGTAAGTTTTTATGATGTAAAGTACTTTAAAGAGGACCTATTATTGGGTCCTTGAACTACTTAGGATCCATCTGTGGCCTCTACAAAACATGTTCATTTGATTTGACAAAATTAATCTCAGATAATGAAATTTCATAATTTCAGTTTTTTTTCCTGTTCTGAGATCTCTTCAGAACAAGCTGTTTATGTAAATAAGGAGCTGTTGGCAATCCCCTCCCAACCTTTGATGACATTATGTCAGCCCTTGCAACATGGCATTTATGTTAGAACTTCGGAAACAGGAAAATAGTTGGCTAGTTCAAGCATATGGTACAACAGTGGTAAAGAGGCTGCGCGCAGTGCGGACACCCCCACGGCTTGGTAGGGACAGACTGGAGCGATGTCAGGCACCTTGGTACCGGTGAAGTCAACATGCATCCTTCGCCGATTCCTGGAGCCAGWGAAGACAAACCGAGGAGCATCAAGTCCACAACCTGGAGACTCCCGTGTCACCAGTCTGYGGCACGGAGTCTCCATTCTGCAGCACAGAGGCTCCTGTGAGATGAACGTTGTGGTGCCGGAGTCTCCAGTCCTCCAGCACAGTTCATCCCCACCAGATAGTTTGACGACAACCCGCCCGCGCTGTGCGGCCACCCCAGGGGAGAGAGACAGACTAGTGCCTGGGGAAGCAAATGCACGTCTGTCCCCAGGTCAGAGTTATGGAAGTGGGAAGGTGGTCCATGCTGCAGCAGCACCCAGAGCTGCACAGACCATCGTCACCACTTCTCCAGGCAGAGGAGGAAAGGCGAAGCTGCTCGCCTCCTCAGTAGTCGATCCCAGCAGCACATTCAACAAATACAATATGACAAATCATGTTCATACCAAACCACAACTAAACACACCCAACACATCACTTCCCACCATCACCTAATATTTGTGATGAACATAGTCAGAGGTCAGAGGTTTCCTTCACCTGAAAGTCCGTGGGTAAATCCTGCAGTGGGCTGGTAGTAGTTTCCCCAAGGAATCCATTGTGAAATTAATTCCACAAACTACATCTTTCTTTGGCAACATTGCTACAACATTACCATCAAAAACAAAAACAAAATTAAGCCATGCATCTCTGTTGTCCGTGACTGTTGTAAAAACAGCAGAACTAATGAGGTCATCCTGTGAAGAAGTGGGCGGAGTCTCCGCTTGGGTTACCAGGTGGGGGGCTGGGCTTGTCTTGGCGTTGCTAGGTTACCCAATTTGTGACATCACAATCTTCAGGTTTTTTGAAACAGCTCATTTGCTGACACTAAAAAACATTTATATATTGTCAAAAACAACTGGGAGTATTGTTTTGGTGCTTGGACTGTTTCTGGAAGCAGTGAAGACCCAAACTGAAGCATAAAAAAGTTTTAAAAACAGGAAATTTAGCATAATAGGTCCCCTATACTCTGAGTTATCCTGAAATGTGCTGTACAAAAAACAACTTGACTTGACTTGTACCACAGTACAAACAGTGTCCCCACAAACCCAGGAGCTAGGGAGAAAGAGAAATCACACACAACACAGCACGAGAGCAGTGGTTATCCTAACTGGACTTTCCTYACGCCAGACAAGAAATCCAAACAGGACTCCAGTCAACCACCGGGTGAACAGGAAGACCCCCAAACCCAGATCCAGACCAGTGGTTATTCTGTATGTTGCAGGAGTTTCAGAGAAACTGAGATGGTTACTCTCTAAACATGATGTCCCAGTGGCTTTCAAACCCCAAAACACATTACGGCAAAGACTGATTCATCCCAAAAATCCAATCCCCCTGCACAAATAGAGTAATGTTTTGTATGCTGTTAAGTGTCAGGAGGACTGTAATCAGTTATAAATTGGGGAAACAAAGAAGCACTGTTCAATGAATGAGCCAGCACAGAAGATCAACATCATCAGACCAGGACTCTACAGTTTACATTCAACTACAGGCCAGGGTTCTACAGTTTACATTCATCTAAGGTCAGGACTCTACAGTTTACATTCATCTAAGGTCAGGGCTCTACAGTTTACATTCATCTAAGGTCAGGACTCTACAGTTTACATTCATCTAAGGTCAGGGCTCTACAGTTTACATTCATCTAAGGTCAGGACTCTACAGTTTACATTCATCTAAGGTCAGGGCTCTACAGTTTACATTCATCTAAGGTCAGGACTCTACAGTTTACATTCATCTAAGGTCAGGGCTCTACAGTTTACATTCATCTAAGGTCAGGACTCTAC